AGTCAGCTGAGATTTCTGCACCGAGACTGGTTCGCATCCAGATCTGCCAGTGCTGAAATACAGAACCTGTCAGAGACCCTGCTCAGCCTGCAGCCAAGGATGGGCAGTGAGGGAGCACCATGGATGGGAGATCAAAACATCCCAGGGGGAAATGACCCGCTCCTGGTGACACAGGATGTCCCCAGCCCTGCTGTCAGTCAGTGAGGCAGAGCTTTCTGGATTTAAGGCAAGACAGGTTTGGGCATAAATAAACAGGCAGCAAAGACTGGCATCTGGCTGGGAGCAGCCTCGGACCAGGAGGGAGAGGCTCCATTCCTGGAAGAGTTCTTGGGCAGCTCGGGGGACATCTGACTCCTCCTGAGGCTTCCTGCCTCTGCAGCTCCTCCAGGATCTGCCATAAGCTCCCAGGGAAGGAGTAGGTTGTAGCAACAGTTCTGTTTTCCCCTGTGAAATGACCCTGCAGAGGAGCCTAACCCCCCTGTTCCTCCTGCCTCACTCCCCCTGCCCTTGCACTCAGTTCAACTGGGAAATTCTGCTTTTTCCTGAAAATAACCTCCCTGTTTTTCACACTCTTGCAGAGCTACCAGGAAAACAAAGAAGCTGTTGAGTGCTGACCAGAGGTTATCATCTGCCCTCCAGAGCTCCCGCTGCTGGCCCAGACTGCTGAAACCCAGGAGCTCCATTCCACTGGGAAACTATTGTCAAGCTCTGAGACTGGGAGTAAAAAACAATCAAAACCAAAATGAAAAATATGGTTTTACCCAAAACCCCAGCAATATGATGTGGGGCAGGCAGTGTGGAGTGGATGTGCTCCCTCTCCAGGGTGTTTATCCCTGTGGCTGTGAATCCCCTCCAGGCTGGGGGGGTGCCCAGCTCTGGGGAGCCCTGAGGGCACAGGGTGGGACACAGGCAATGTCAGGATGCTGGGAACAGGCTGAGGAAGCTGGGATTTAAACCAGCTTGGTGCACAGAGGGCTGAGCTGGCTCCTGTCTCCCACGTGAGTCCCCGGAGCACTGAACCCTCCCACGGCACCACCAGCAGCAGGAGCTGCTCCCACGCAGGAATGTGGGATCCATCCTCCCTCTCGGGGGGCTCAGGTGCCCTGTGCCCTCCCTGTGAACTCCTCAGAGGTGCTGGTGTTTAATTCCACACGGAATTTAAAGCTGCTACCTCAGAACCAACCATCCAACTTCCTCCTACCTCACCTCGGATGAGATCAGCCCTGCCCTGTGCCTCGCCACGGGGACTTGTACAGCCTGAAGAGCCAGGATTCACCCCTGGATCATCCTGACAGCAGAGGAGCTGCCCATGGCTCGGAGAACATGCACTGGAGTGGCTTCAGAGCCCTCAGATGGCAGGCAGTGATGCATGGCCCAGTGGAATGCCATGGCAGAGCCATGAATGCCCATCCTGCCCAGGCTGGGCATGGCAGACGTGTGAATCTGCTGCTTTGGTATCCATGGTGCTTTGGCATGCCTCACGTCTTTGTCTCCTGCCCGAAATAGATGAGCTCTTCAATATTACTCAGCACTTGGAGTTCTGCCACAGCACAGAAGACAGTTGAGAAAACACCAAAAATGTGTCTCCCAGAGCAGAGAAACATTGAGAGGAACTTCACTGGCTTTGTGCAGTGCAGGGGCAGAACCCTCTGCCCAGGGCAGGCTGAGGTTATCTGGCTGAAGTGGAGGGTGTAACACAAGGGCTGGAACTGGAACAGAGCAGAACTTGCTCATTTCAATGAGAATAGGAAAAAAGAGCACAGAACCCACTCATCTCAATGAGAATAGGAGAAAACAGGACAGAACCTGCTCATCTCAAAAGGAATAGGAGAAAACAGGACAGAACCTGCTCATTTCAATGAGAATAGGAAAAAAGAGCACAGAACCCACTCATCTCAATGAGAATAGGAGAAAACAGGACAGAACCTGCTCATCTCAAAAGGAATAGGAGAAAACAGGACAGAACCTGCTCATCTCAAAAGGAATAGGAGAAAACAGGACAGAACCTGCTCATTTCAATGAGAATAGGAAAAAAGAGCACAGAACCCACTCATCTCAATGAGAATAGGAGAAAACAGGACAGAACCTGCTCATCTCAAAAGGAATAGGAGAAAACAGGACAGAACCTGCTCATCTCAAAAGGAATAGGAGAAAACAGGACAGAACCTGCTCATTTCAATGAGAATAGGAAAAAAGAGCACAGAACCCACTCATCTCAATGAGAATAGGAGAAAACAGGACAGAACCTGCTCATCTCAAAAGGAATAGGAGAAAACAGGACAGAACCTGCTCATCTCAAAAGGAATAGGAGAAAACAGGACAGAACCTGCTCATTTCAATGAGAATAGGAAAAAAGAGCACAGAACCCACTCATCTCAATGAGAATAGGAGAAAACAGGACAGAACCTGCTCATCTCAAAAGGAATAGGAGAAAACAGGACAGAACCTGCTCATCTCAAAAGGAATAGGAGAAAACAGGACAGAACTTGCTCATTTCAATGAGAATAGGAAAAAAGAGCACAGAACCCACTCATCTCAATGAGAATAGGAGAAAACAGGACAGAACCTGCTCATCTCAAAAGGAATAGGAGAAAACATCACAGAACCTGCTCACCTCAATAGGAATAGGATAAAACAGCATAGAACCCACTCATCTCAATAGGAATAGGACAAAAGAGCACAGAACCCACTCATATGAAGCCCCAGCTGAAGCTGTCTTATAGGTATTGGGTGGTGACTTCAAGCTGCACTCAGGAAATTTGTCACACAATATTTCCCCAAATCCAACCATTTCAGGCACAATCCCCATGACAGAACCCCTCAGTCCTTTGTGGCACCCCACGTGCCCCCTGTCACAGCACAGACAGACAATCCGGTCATGTCACAGACAAAGACAAAGCCACACAGGAGCACAAGCAGGTCCTGCAGCAGGTGTGAGGTGTTCTTCACTCTCACCACCCAGCAGTGGGGGAATCTGCCATTAAGAAACTGGAAATGAACATTACAGCACTGTTCAAAAGCCAGGTGGATTTAGAGGCAGCTGAAAGGTAAATTCTAAGGCCAGTCCATTCCGATGTCTATGAACAGCCAGGATATTCATTTCTTCAGAGAACAAAGCCTTTTGTTCCGTTTGGAAAGCACCCCCTGTCTGAGGGCTGTGGTGGATGAACAGGCTGCATTCCCACTGCCACTGTCCCCCCTTGCCAGGGACAGGGAATGTGCTCTGGAAAAGGTGTGGAAACCCCTGGCCCATGTACAGGAGAGCAGAGCCCCGAGCCTTTGCAGCTAAAGGAGGAGAGGAGGTTTTCTTCTCGCCTGGGAAGGAGCTGGGAGCAACCTTTTTGTCCTGGGAGGTGCCTCAGGGGCGTGAGGTGAGGATAACTCACCTGCCTGAGACAAAGGGCTGGGTTTGCAGCCCTGCTCAGGGATCTCCATGGCTTGGTGGAGCCTATCAGGACACCCCACTCCTTGGACCATCACTCCTAGGGCACCTTTGCTACCTGACCCTAAAAACACATGTAAAAATAAAAAATATGTCCTGATATAAAAACGTATAAAAACATGTCCTGATGTGGCAGGACATGGCCATAAACCTCCCTTGGGATGGGGACACCTTGTGTGAAATGTCACCCGTGGGTCCTTCCTTGAGCCAGTGCAGCTCCCAGCCCACCTGAGGCTGCTCTGCTTCCATTCCCTTGTGCAGAGCTGGACTGGGATTGCAGGGACTGGAGAACAAATCTGGGATTGCAGGGACTGGATCATAAATCTGGGATTGCAGGGACTGGAGAACAAATCTGGGAATGCAGGGACTGGATCATAAATCTGGGATTGCAGGGACTGGAGAACAAATCTGGGAATGCAGGGATTGGAGAACAAATCTGGGATTGCAGGGATGGAATAATAAATCTGGGATTGTAGGATATTGGATTACAGGACTGGGATTTCAGGGTTTTGGATCACAGGTCTGGGATTGCAGGGATTGGATTACAAGTCCCACGGGTGCTGCCTCAGCCTCAGTAAACTTTATTTAAGCACACACAGACATACACAGACAATATACATATATTTGTTTCTTCTCTGACAGTTCTACAGGACCAACACTACTTTGGATGACACCCGTGGAGAACTGGAAAAAAGTGCAGAAAATGTAGTTGAAAAAAAACCCAAAAAACAAAAAAATAAAGAAAAAAAAGAAAATATCAAGGTCCTTTAATCATTTGTGAGTCACGGTCATCCACAGAAACAACACAGGAGCGTTCAACCAGGCGAGCACGAGGACACAGCTCCACGTACAGTACATTGCTCTAGAGAGGAGTCTCCACATACATTGTGTCTGGGGGAGTACAGCAGTCTTGGGGACACAGAAGGGGACAGGAATGGCACGTGCACCCCCGGTGTGTCACAGCCAGGCCACCGGTGGAAGGACACTCCGAACACTTCTGTACACCAGGGAAACTCACCAGACAGGCCACAGCGTCACCAGGGAGCGCTGCCTGGGGTTGTGGTGGCACCAGGAGGTGGCTCTGGTGGCACCAGAACGCCCTGGATGTTGGGTGCTTTGTGTTCAAGCTGTCTCTGCACAGATATTTATATACAGTACATGTACACAGAACATACACACAGCAGCATATGGAGATTCTTTGTGGTTTGCTGTTTGTACATTATATCACAGATTATAGGAACACAGAAAATATAGGCTTCAGGAGCTAAAAAGAAATAATTTTATAAAATATTCGTCGCAACCCCCCCGTTCCCCCCACCATCTAAATAAAGAAATAACTAAAATAAAAGCCCAGAAGTCAAAGGGAGGAACTCCAGCCCCACAGTCTGGAAGTGGTCACTGCCTGCCCTCCCCTCTGGAGCAGCCAGGAAAACACAAAGCCGCAGGAGCAGAGCCACTGCACAGCCCGGGGGAGCCTGTACCGCCCTGCCAGGACCCGCAGGTCCTGCCCCAGCCCAGCACCGACCCTGCCCGCGCCTCCCGGGCTGCCCAGCTCCGAGCTTCGGATTTCAAACAATCGTTTCGGTTTATTTAGCAAAAAATGGTTTCCACTGTACCCTTCGTGTGTCCTCTTCCTAACGTGACAAACCCGGAGGAGATGAAATTGTGGAGATCTGGCCCTCCACTGCGATAAAGATCCTTTCCATAGTGACCTGGAAAAGGAAAAGGGAGCAAAGACACCTTCAGTCACTCTGTCTGTGCACATACATCTATATATATATGTATATATTTATATTTAAATTTAATATATAATATATAATAATACAAATATATAATATAATATATGTTATTTTATATTTTATATTTTATATTTTATATTTTATATTTCTATTTGTGATATATTTATAGTCATACATTTCCATATATATTTATATATGTACATATATTTTAATATGTGTATATTTCGCTATATATTTATATATATATTATGTAATAATGATATTATAATAAACTAATAATAGTATAGACATATTATTATAATAATTGTATTAATATATTTTACATTTATATATTTCTATACACAGATCTATATATTTAATATTTACATTTATATTATTTATATTTCTATTTAATTTTCTTTTTATTTTATTTATATATGTGCTAAACAGCCTTTCTGTCACCCTCACACACACTGCACAATTAAAGGCACCCCGAGAGCGGCCCAGAAAACAACACCTGCAGCAACATCAAAGCCTGAATTCTTTGCTGGCAAAGATTTTCGAAGAGGAACAACTGCACGTGTTGGAAATTGCCCAGGAGGGAGCAGAATCGGAGAGGGAAAGCACCAAAATGCCAGTTTTCTGAAATTGTCTCATTCCTGGCTCAGACCCTGCTTTGCTCCCCAAGGCCTGGTCCCAAAGGGGATCAGAGATCGTCCCCCTGAGGGCCCCCAGGTGGCAGGGGTTTGTCCCCAGGTGCGATGTCCCCCTGCCCAGGCTGTCCCCATGTCCCCATAACAGCAGCACAGCAAATTTGGGGGTTGGGACAGCACCTCAAGCCTCCTCAAAAGACTCGTCAGAGCTTTCCCAGTCCCTGACAACACTGTAGGTTCAAGAGACACCCAGCCTTTTAATATTTTAATACATTAATAAAGGGAAAAAAAAAAAAAAAAAAAGCAGCCTGCCTCCGTGTTACCGTGCACAGCTGTGAAATGAGGACACAGATGATTTTTCAGATACTCTTTATCATCTCCTCCCTTTTCCATGTTGTTAATTTTTCTGTTCCTATTATTCCAGGATGAGGCAGAGATAAGGAAGGTGCAGGGGGAGGGAAAGGGGGGCAGCCTGGGGGGCTGCAGGGATGAATCCCAGGGAAATTCCACTTTTCCCTGATTTCCTGCCCGAGCTGGGGTGGCAGAAGGTGCTGGGCTGGGGCAGAGCTGGGTGGGCAGCGCTGGGCAGGAGCAGGGGGGCTTCCAGGCTGCAGGTGGGGTCAGCTGGGGCTCTGTCCTGCCCGGCCCTGGCTGTTCCACAGCCCCTCTCTGCTTTGCACAGCCTGACACCAAATCTGCTTGTTCCCACCCCATTTCAGGCTCTCTGGCAACACCTTGGGAATGAGAGAGGCTTTGGAAGTTCCCTGTTTCCCCTGCAGTCACTCACTGTCCCCAGAGTCCCAGAAGAGGGTAGTGGGTTAGGCCAGCACCCACCTGCCCCCCAAGGTCCCCAAATGTCACAGAATCATGGAATGGGTTGGGCTGGAAGGGACCTCAAAGTCCACCTAGTGCCACCCCTGCCGGGGCAGGGACACCTCCCCCTGTCCCAGGGACACCTCCCCCTGTCCCAGGTGCTCCGGTCTCTGCAGGTGGGGTCTCTGCAGGTGGGGTCTCACCTGAGCCCCCCTGTTCTCCCCATCGGGTCTGAGCAGGCTGCAGCCCCATCCCCAGCAGGTGCCAGGCCAGGAGAGGCTGGCACAGGCTCTGCCAGCCTGGGATGGGTCTGGAGAGCCTCAGAGGAGCTCCCAGGGCAGGCAGGAGGTGCTGACACTTGTGACAAAGATTCTAATAGAGAAACCAGCCCACTCCCTTCCCACACGGGCTTTTTCTGGCCAAGGTCAGCCCAGTGCTCCCTGGAAATGTCAGCAAACACACACACGGTGTTCCCACAGCTCTGGGAGTGCTGGCAGCTCCCAGTTTCCTTCTCACAGCTGTGGCAATGCCAGGTGGTGGCAAAAACCTCTCAGTGAGGGGCCATCCCCCAGAAATTCCCTGAGAAGAGCATCCAGAATAAAGAAAGAAGGATTTTCTGCTCCCATGGCAAACACGGTGGGTTCTGTCCCTTCTCCTCCTGCCTCCCTCCTGCAAGCTCTGTTCTGGATTCCTGGGAAAGGAGGCAGAGCTCTGGAATTGTTTGTGATCCATGAGATGTCTGTGCTGGTGCTGAGGAGCCTCCAGAGATGCTCTGGGGCTGCAGTGCCCCACTGGATTTCCTTTTTCTCTATCACTCCTCTAAAATGTGCTGCATCTCTGCTGTCCAACGAGGCAATTTTTGCTCCTGTCCCAGGAATTTCTGTGCTCTCAGGACCAGCCACTCGAGCAGTGCCATAAATTCCCTGGTTTAAACCAGGATAAAAGAGCCACACAAATATTGCTGCTACCTCCAGCTGAAACCAGCTGCCTTTTACAATTCCCTCTGGAGAACCTGCTTAAGACACATCAAGAAGGGGAAGTTTATAAAAAAGCAAACATTTACTGGCAGATTGAGGATTCTTCATCAGCCATTTGCTCTCTGAACCTTGCTCTGCCCCTGCTTATGGAACATTGTAGTTCAATTAAAACATCCCTGTGATAACGAGCCATTAGCATTTGAACAGGAGTTACATTTTCCCAGGAGAAACTCAAATTTGCAGACTTCAAGCAGCATGACTTTTCCTTTTCCACGGATATATTACAGGATGCTACGTCTGCTTTTTGGTTTGTTTTTTTTTTTTTTTTTTTTTTTTTTTTTTTTTTTTTTTTTTTTTTTTCTCTCTGCTCACTTGTGATCATTTCTTTCAGCCTTGCAAAACTGTGGGAGATTTCTGGGAGTGATTTTTCCTTTCAGAGGGGCCTGGGGACTGCTGGGGGGTGTTGTTATTCAATTTATTTGCCACAATCCTATCCTGAGCAGGGCGTTTCCCACTGGAAGTGAAGGGTCCCTTGGAGCAATCCCAAATGCCCAGCAGAGCAGAGGGGAGCACAGACAGGGAAATTCCCCATTTCCTTCTCCACTTTTCCTCCTTTCTGCCTCTCCCCGAGGTGCTGGGAGCCCTTGCAGAGCTGCCAGAGGGGCTCAGCCGTGAGCTGATGGAGCTGCCTGTGCCACGGGCTGGGAAGGAGCTCCTGGAACTCATCCCAGATCTTCCCCCAGCCCAGGCTGAACCTCAGTGTTACCTCGAAAAATTCCTTTCAAATTCCTTGAGGAAGCAGTGTAGATGGAGTGATTTTCATTTTATTTCAGATTTCAGGGTTTTTTCATTGAATTACAGGATGGTTTGGGCTGGAAGGGACCTTAAAGTCCACCCAGTGCCACCCCTGCCATGGCAGGGACACTTCCCCTGCCCCAGGAAGATCAGCACAGCTCCAAATTCCCAGCAGAGACTGAAACAAGGTGGAATTTCACTTCTGTTGCAAACAGGTAAAGAAATTACAAAACAAAGACCTCATAAAATCAGGCCTGCTCTGCTAAATTAATATCCAGCCTGTCATTTCTAAGGGCAGTTTGCAAGTTCTCATACGAAAACAGCTTGAGAAATAAAGTTCCTTTACACAACAATCTATTCCTGGGGTGAAAAACAAATACACCTGGATAAACAATAAGATCTGTCCCATGAGAATTAGTAGAAAAAAAATTGTAAACTGAACTAAAAACACAGAAGTTTGATAGATATGCACAATACCATGTAGTGACCAATTAACTGAGTGGGAATGTGTTGTCAACCAATAAGATCTGACACTAATAATAATAATAATAATAACAATAATCCTATAAATTATGATCTATACAATAGTACTGACCAGTGAACTGAGTGGGAATGTATTGTCAACCAGTAAGATCTGACATAATACACATAACAGATCCTTTTGGGGCAGTTTTACACATAACAGATCCTTTTGGGGCAGTTTTACACATAACAGATCCTTTTGGGGCAGTTTCACACAGAGAACAGCCCAAGTGCAGGAGCTGCCAGAAGGGCTGGGAGGTGTTTGCAGCTTGCTCTGCACCACCCCCTGTCCTGCCTTGGAATGCCAGGGAGGCTCAGCTCCAGACCCAAACCCGGGGATTCCTGCCCCCAGAGGTGCCCAGGGACACCTCACCCCTCCCAATTTGGGAAATTTGGGGCTGTCAGACACAGCTACCAGTTGGAAGGGAGCGTTTGCAGCCACATCAGGCACCTGGGAGCTTCTCTTGGGGTGCAGATTAGCAGAGATTAGAGTGAGGAGGGACATCCCAGGGCTGCCACTGGGACACCAAATGTGCCCATGTTCCTTCTCCAAAGCACCCAGAAAGCAGGAGCCAGCTGGCACCTCTGACACTTGTCACAAAGAGCCCAGTGGGGCTCCAGCACTGAGCTTTGCCTGTTTAACACCATCCTCCTGGCACTGCTGCCTGCCCAGGACGTGAAAATGTGCACAAAAAAAGCAACTGGAAGGAGTTCAGTGGTCCTTGGGGTGAGCTGTCAGACGTGAACGGGATGGATTCCAGATCAGAGCAGGGAATATCTGATTTTTCCATGTCCTACAGATATTCTGCAGCTCAAACCCCTCTGGATGGGATATAATATAATATAATATAATATAATATAATATAATATAATATATAATGTAATGTAATATAATTAATATAATATAATATAATATGATATAATATAATATAATAATATATCAGCCTTCTAAAAACATGGAGTCAGATTCTCTTCCCTTATCCTAAGACCCTCACAACCCCACACCCAAGTAATTTTACTGGTGTCAGACTGGCAGGGAGAGGCCAGGGAGCCATGCCCAGGGCACACTGAAGGAATCTGCTGGCCCAGCCTCTCCTCTGATGAGGCTCAGCACCAGCAGCTCCCTGTGCTTTGCTGTGGGATGAATCCCAGGAGTGGCTTCAGCACTCCTGGCTGCTCCAGGCCCCATCCCCTCCCTGAGCACTCTGCACCCCTGGAGCTGAGCTCAGGGGCT